AACGCCCCTAAAAGAAAAACCCCTCAAAAAAAAAAAAAAAAAAAAAAAAAAAACCTTAGTACAGATAACTACACTTCCTAGAAAATGATTATACAGACCTTTTCAAAGAAAAATGCTCTCCATTGTATCTCCACGGTGAGGGGTGAGGTTGCCTGGAGAAAACCCCACGTCTGATGCCTCCAACATACTGCTGTAGCACTCTGCATCTTTTTTCCTGTCATCAGTATGTGCTCCTACTTGGTCACGTGTTTGAGAATACACTTGCAGACAGCTTTGCCGCTCAGTGTTCCACTGGTCTTGCCTTTTAGTACATTCTATTGGGCCAACGGGTATTGTGGTGGTTAAGGCAACTAGATCGCACACGGCTGGCTGCCAGGTTCAAGTCCCACTCCCAGCGACTTGAAAAACACGCCGGGAGCATGCCTGTGTTTGTGCCCCAGATCCTGAAAGGAGGGGAAGATGAAGGAAAAGGAGCCGTGGCCTGACCATCCCTAAGGGGTGGTCCTTTTCTCTCTCTCTCTCTCTCTCTCTCTGGTGAGCCCATATGCTCTCTGGCAAAAATTTTAAAAAATGCATCCTGCTGATCTCTGCCTGTGTAGTACATGTGTACAAAGTGTAGCTATCAATGTTCTAATGGAGTTAGAGCTACTGCTTTATTACTTGTTTTCTATTTCTCTCTTTGTTGAATTGCCAGAGAGAGAGAGAGCGCCCCAGTAGTGGCCCCTGGCCTCCCCACCACCCATTCTCCTCCATTGGCCTTCCCACCAGGGCTAGGATTCAAACTGCAGCTGGCAGGTGGGGTCAGGTTCCGGACTCAGCTGTGGCAGCCCAGTCTCTGATGTTTTCATGGTTCTTTTCCTCCTTTCTCACCTTCTTTCAGGTTAGTGAATATGTTTTAGTATCTCGTTTAAATTCCTCTATTGGCTTTTTAGCATACCTCATTACACAGTTTTCCCCAGATGTGTTTCTAAGTATTATCATATGCATCCTTAACTTACCAGTCTACTTGTAGTTAATATTGTACCATTTTATGTGAGACCCGGGAGATTTGTAACGGGATTGTTCATAGCCCCCTCCCCCCATCCCCTGTGCTACTCTTTTTTTTAAAAAAGAATTATTTATTTAATTTTATTTATTATTATTTTAAAATATGCCATAGGGCACTCACCAGAGAGAGACACTGAAAGAGAGAGGGAAAGTGAGAAAGCAAACCACCAGGTCTAGGATTTGAATTGTGGTCAACCATGTGGGACTCCAGCACCTTAACCACCACGCCCTCTGCTGGCCCCCTTCTGTGCCGCTTTTATCATAGACATTGTATTTACATGTTAACCCCCCCCACTATAGTGCTGTAAATAATTTTTGCCTTAAATAATCATATTCCTTTTAAAGAAATTGAGAGGAGAAAACATGTGTGTGTATATATTTTTTATATATAAATGTGTGTGTGTATAATCAATATTTACTCTTAGTCACTATTTCCAGTGCTATCTTTTTTCTAATTATTAAGCTATAGGGCATGTGCACTTGCCAGAGAGCGAGAGGAGCACTTCCCGAGGGATGGCCATGCCACAGTCCCTTCTCCTCCACTCTCTTCTTGGGATTTGGGGCCCGCATAAACCTACACCTGGCATGTTTTTTAATCTGCCAGGTCTGGGACTCAAACTGTGCGGTCGGCCCTGTGGGAGCCAACTGCCTCACCCTCTGTGCCACGCACTGGCCCACCTGTAGTATTCCACTGTCGCTCTGAGCCGCCATCTTGCCTCGCTCTCTTCAGCTGAAGCACTTCCTTGAGCTCTCCGCGGTGAGCAGATCTTTTGGCCACGATGTTGTCCTGAGGCCCTTCTCTCTTTAGTGCAGGGAGCAGTCCCCTGTCTTCCCCTTTTGGAGTAAGCCCTGCTCACAGGGCAGTTTCCGTCCTGAAATTCCCTGTGCTCACACCCTCTTGCACTCATACAAATACATGCCTGCTCTGGTCTCAGTGTGTCCTGCAAAGACCCGTGACGGAAGTGGTTGTGATGGGATGAAGAGGATGAATTAACCTTTAGTCCCGCACTGGCACTGGGGAGGCCTCTGGGACGTGATTAGGATTCTGGTCACGGAGGGGCTGGCGACGAACTCCTGGGCTTTAGGAGAAGGAATGAGGCAGACATGCGGATCGCGGTGCGCACTCACGCTCGCTCCCCCATGCGTGATGCCCTGGGCACCCCAGGGCTCTGCAGAAAGGCCTCGCCAGCAACAAGACCCTCGTCAGACGCAGCCCCTGAGCTTTGGACCTCTGAAATCTGAATAAACCTCTCTTCATAAATCACCTGGTGTCAGGGACTCAGTTACTTAGCAACAGAGATTGGACTAAAACAACACCCATGTACACACGCACACACCCCAGACAGACGGAACCCTGTCCGTCTACTCTCTGGTGCCGGTAACTGAACACCACACCTAGTAACGTTTCCGTCCGAGGTCGTGGGGCTGCACTGGTCAAGGGCATCTTTGCAGACTGTCCCAGGACAGTGCAGGCCATCCCACGGCGAGAGGCGAGTGCGTGTCTTTGCCTGAACATGTCTGCGTCTCTGCCTTGGTGTCCTCCCTCTGAAAAAGCCACCAGGGTTCAACCACAAGGGGCCCCACCCTGCAGATCCTGTCTGGTCCTAGTTACCAGGCCCTACTTTGGACGTCACAGTCAGGTCAAGCGTCCACCCTCTGGCACCTTCACACTCCAGCGAAATTTCAGCCCATGAGTTCTGAGGGGACACCGCCACGGCGTGCAGTCCCATGAAGACGCACCTCTCGGGTGGCTGGAAACGGCAGGGTTCTGTTGTTTCCCTTCTCCGCACAAACTGAGTGCGTCCCCTTCCGAGAGTCGGCCTCTGGCTGCCCCCAGGTACACGTAAGACGAGAGGAGAATCTGTCCCTCAGCTCCTCAAACATAAGATTTCATAATGGACATGCCCATAACCTCCGCCACGTCTGAACAGGCTGCCTGTGACCTTGGTCAGGCAGATGGCTCGTTTTACAGAGCGCCTGACCTTCACCTTCACAGAGTAGCCTGTCGTCTGGGCTCAGGCCCTTCACTCGCAGGATTTTCAGACACGTTTTTGTGATTCCTTAGTAACTGAGTCTGTGCCAGAATAAACAGTGGTTATTCACAGTGTAGCATACATTTGGGCAGATTATCTAACTCTCTGTAATTCTGAGGTGTGATTAAAATCAGGGCAGCAGATGGCATGGTAGTCAACATGCTGGACTCCCACATGGCTGACTGTGGTTCAAGTCCCAGACCTAATGGCTTGCTTTCTCTCTCTCTCTCTCTCTCTCTCTCTCTCTCTTTGTCTCTCTCTAGTGAATGCTTATGCCCTATAGCAAACTTTAATAATAGTAACAATAATATATAAATTAAATAAATACTTTTAAAAATAATTTTATTTGATTTTATTCATCATCATTATTTTCATTTTCAATTTGACAACAGAGCGAGAAGGCAAGAAAGTAAGCCACCAAATCCAGGACTTGAACCGTGGTCGGCCATGTAGGAGTCCAGCGCCTTAACCACTATGCCACCTGCCGGCCCCAATAAATGCTTTTCTTAAAAAAAGAGAATCTCAGCTCTGATTCTTGTTAGTTGGGTGCCTTAGGTATGACATTTAACATCTCAAAGTTCATGAGGAATGTGAAAAGCATTTTTATTGCCAGATGGCCATATCAATAGCTACAATGTATTCAGTGCTTTCTGAGATCCGAGATCCGTGCTCACTCTGTACGTCTAACTCATTAAAGCCTTCTAGAACAGTGTCCTGTGGACTTTCTCATTGTTCCCATGTTTCAGACCAGGAAGTGAAGGACAGAGGTCGCTCTGGCCGTCTGTCTCATGCATGGAAGGACAGGACCTGCACCGATAGGACGGGTCCTTCGCCCCTCCGCCCGCCGTCCAGTGTTAAGGACAGGCAGTGCTTCTTAGGCACGGAGCCTTTCGTGACGGCGCGTCCACTTCTTCCTTTCTTTCTTTCTTTCTTTCTTTCAAGGACAGGCAGTGCTTCTTAGTCACGGAGTCTTTCGTGATAGCGCATCCATTTCTTTCTTTCTTTCTTTCTTTCTTTCTTTCTTTCTTTCTTTCTTTCTTTCTTTCTTTCTTTCTCTTTCTTTCTTTTTGGAGAGGTTTTTGCTATGGGACACGTATGCTTGCCAGAAAGACAGAGAGAGACAGAGAGTCAGAAAGCAAGAAATCACCCCCCCGGGGGGATGGCCACACCACAATCCCTTCTCCATTCTCCTCTTGGGATCTTGGGCATGCATGCACAGCGTGAGTTTAAGCTACTGAGTCTGGGACTCGAACCGCAGTCGGCTACATGGGAGTCCAGCGACATAGCCATTACACCAACTGCTGGTCTCAGCACATTTCTAGCATCAGTTGTTATAGTTGTTATTCACTTTACAGAGATCCTACAGAGAGTAAGGAGCCTAAAGAATTGTCCATTATTTCAAAGTAGCTTCAGTGGTGTGTACCCTGGGCAGCCCTCCGTGTACTTTACACATTTCAACACACATCTCTGGAAAATCACAGAAGCACAAGTGGCTTCCAGCTGCTTCACAGAACCTGAGGGTTGGGAGAGGCCTCTGGAGGCCTCTGGCCGACCTCCACCCAGTCCCCCACGGGTAAGAATCAGGGGTGATGCACTGCTGGTGTTAGATGGGTGGCATTTTGGCCATGGGACTAGAAATGCTCGAATCCCACTCAGGCTAATCACACGTGTCCTGGGGGTTTTCCAGGGAACTGTGCACACAGAAGTGGAGGTGACCGTAAGCACTTCAAGCCCCACTTACTTACAAGCCCGTAGCCTCACCCCCACCCCAGGTAAAGCCAATACAGCATTTAGGAAGCCTCGGGCCTAGCCAGGGCCACTTCTTCCAGGTCTCAATCTTACCAGATGGCCGAGGAGCCTGAAGAAGGCTGTCCCCCAGGTGTGGGAGAGCCTGTGGGAAAGACAGTGGGGGAGATGCAGGGGCTGAGGCAGAGCAAGAGCAGGACAGCCCGGTTCCTCGGGACTCAGCTGCAGCCTGATCACACAGTCATCCCTTCCACTGGCAACCATGGCGCCTCGTCCCAGGGACCAGCAGTGCATCAGCAGGCTGGCAACAAGACCTCTCCGTATAGGGGACTTCAAGGAACTTGTGAAATCTAGAATTAAAGTATGACTTTCTTTTGGTGCAAAGTATTTTCGAGACCCATGCACAGCTTCCTTCATTTCCCCTGAGCTTTTTGAATACCATCTCATGTACTCACGCATAATCTGCCTACGTGTGTTGTCGGAGTGGGAGACAGGACACGTTCTAAAGGTTATAAGGAACTAGGCCACGTGATTGCGTTTGCATGGTTTCCAAATACTCTACAGTAAACGCAGATAATTACTGTTGTGATGGGAAGTCTGCTCAGTGGACTGTGGTGCCTAGAACTCAATCCTGTCTTCCAGTCTAAGGACACCATCACGTGCAATGCCGTGCACACAGACGGTACACACGGAAGCAGGAAGGCGGCCACGATGTTTGCAGTAGTGGAGAAGGCGTGGAGAAGAAAGTGGCCTTTTAGCTGGGCCTGAAACTAGGAATGATGGGGACCAGCAGGTGACGTAATGGTTACGTTGCTGGACTCCCACATAGTCAACCGTGGTTTGACCCTGGACCCGGCAGCTTAAAGCTCATGCTGGGGGTGTGTGTGTGTGAATGTGTGCACAATCCCAAGAGGAGAATGGAGAAGAAGGGATGACGACGTGACCATCTTCCCAGGGGGCGGGGGGGGGTGATTTCTCACTTCCTCTCTGTCTCTCTCTCTGTGTCTCCAGAGAGTGCATGTGCCCAACAGCAAAAATCTCTCTAAAAAAAGGAAAATGATGAAAATCGAACCATTTTTACATCATGGTCATTTCAGGGTCAGCAGGTGACATAGTGATGAAGGAACTGGACTCCCACGTGGTTGACTGCTGTTTGAGTCCCGAACCCAGCAGCTTGAACCCAGCTCACCCCAGTGCTTGCGCATGAGTGCCCAAAGTCCTGAGAGGAGAGTGGAGGAGAAGGGATTGCAGTATGGCTGTCCCTCCCCCCGGGGGTGGGAAGATTTCTCGCTTTCTGTCTGTCTCTTTGTCTTTGCGGCAAGTACATGTTCCCTAAGCAAAAATGTCTCTCTCTCAAAAAAAGTATATAGTCATTGCTTTGTTGTGGTTTGATGTTTTCTATGATATTGGGAGCCACTTTGTCTCTTCAGTTCAGATGTCAAGTTCCCAGGGTCAAGGACTCTTTCTGTCTGCATCTCTTTCTTCCCCTCCTGTTTAATCAACTACTCCGGAAATCCAGGCAGTCGTCCAAATGCAGGCAAGGTGCTCTGAGCTAGCGTTTCTGTCGGGTCACCAGATTAATGGCGGGTTTCTCTGTCCCGCTAGCTCCTGCTCAGAAAACCCCCGAGGAACCTTACACAGAGACAGCTTCGCACGCCATTGAAAAGGAAGAGGCCGAGACTGAAGCTGAAGTCAAGGTAAAACCACCCTTCTGTTCTGAGGGAGAAGATGGCTGTCATCGTCATAAATATGACAAGCATGTCGCGCTCTTAGGCCCTGTCACCCCTCCTGTGTGCTCAGAGGGCACACGGCGAGTCTAGTGCTCCCGAGGGCTGAGGTTTGTACGAGTTTCCCTTCCTACCTTTTCTTTTTCATTCAAACTAGGAATAAAATCTGTTTGGTCATGTAGGTAATTGTCGGTACATACTGATGTATTGAGGGAAGGGTCATTTTATTCATTCCTGTAAACTGACTTCCTGTTTAAAAATCAGGCGGGCTCCGTGGCCTGGCAGTTAAGGCAGCTGGACCCGGGACTGCCGTTGTTCTGAGGGTGTAGAAGGTGCTGACATTGGAGGAGTTGGAGGGAGTGGACGCAGGACTTCCCTGTACAGCTGTTTGCCATCTAGTGTGAGACCGTATAATTATTTCAGAGGAAACATTTATAGACAAAAGCACAAGCCTTAGAGACAGGCAGACCTGAGTTCAGGCACCATGACCTCGCTTATCCTCAGGTTCTCTCCTGTGCAAACAAAGGGAACAACAGCTAACACCTGAAACTGTTTGGAACACCAGGCAAAAATCTGGAAATCACCGGACACTGTGTAGTTGTAACATGAGATTGTATTCAGAAATCCAAGCGAACAAATTGTGAGTACGTTTTCCTGCATAACAACCCTAGCAAAGGTTCGCCGTCCCCTGCCTCACAGTAAGTTAGGTATCCATCCGGCCAGATGGTTCTGAAACCAGAAGCTAGTAGACCATGGGCCCAG